GGGGATTGGGACCAGTAATCTGAAAAGGTTGGACACGTGTAATATACGTGGCGAAATATTCAAGGAGACAGCCTCTTAGGCTCTCCACCTCATCAGTGTTTTGCAAACACAAACTCTCTCTCTATCGTCCACCAAGGCACCAACTTTCATTACCTTTCTCGTCTCCTCTCCCTTAATTTGCTCCTCAATCCTTTCTTTTCCTTCCTTCCTTATTACGCCCGCAACTCAATTCTCTCTATTTTTTACTTTCTCTTTCTCTCTGTTAGGGTTTTATTTTCTTTTCGGTTTTTTTTTTCTGTTCTAATCATAACAAAAGCTATGTCGAAGAAGAGGAAATCCGATGCTTCGCGCCTGGACGAGGTGGAGCGGAGCATGTACACCACCTTCTGCAGCGCGGCTAACTCGCTTTCGCAGCTTTACTCTCAGGCCATGAACCACCAGCGTCTCTCCTTCCAGGCCGGTGAACGTCACGCGCTGGTTAGCCTCTATCTACGTTTTTTTTTTTAATTAGCTTTTTTCTTATCGCATATCTTTATCTCTTTATAAAATTATCTTTTTTTGTGTTGTTGTTATTGGAGAATTGCTAATTTTCTATGTGTGAAAAGGAATGACTTAAAATAAATGGAAAAAATTATACGATAAATAATTATGATTTGGAAGAAGTTAAATTGGATTAGTATTCAATCGGCAATATGCATTTGAGTTTTTGTTGTAGTCTGGTAAAAAAGGTGTCGGCTTTGTTTCTTTCTGATCGTTTGTTTCTTTCCCTTGTAAAATATAGAATTTTCTGTTACTTTTCGCACCAATATTGAAAAGTGAATTATGTTTACCTGCTGCGTATTTGGTATTGGACTTTGCTTAGTGTGCTCTGCTTTTTGCAAATTGGAGTTCTGGAATGCGCGCTTATCAGAAGTTCTTCATTCTTTATTTGCTTATAATGATGAATATTGGATGGGCTATTATTGACAGTAGAAAAATAAATAAAATTTCCCAATACAAATACAAAGGCATAGTTTGGATGTTGCTTTTGATACTTGTTTTTTGCTTTCTGAAGCAAAAAGCAAAAGTTGCATTTGGATACAAAAGCGAAGAGCACTTTGAAGAATTAAGACTCTGTCAATTATTTTGAGCAGAAAAATGTATAATTTTATTTACTTGAACTAATTATGTAATAGTTGGCATTATATTTTAGTCATATGCTCATTTTTAGTCAGTTACTATGATTTTAATTATTTACTATTCTTTTGGTTTATAGCAACTTTTTTGCAATCAAAAGCAAGTTGTGAAACCCAAAAAGAGTCTAAGGATGTGCCATCATGTTTGTTATGCTGACAGAATAAGATAAAACAGTGCACATATGTTTTAGAGATTATCACATTTTAGAGAGATCATCCCAAAATATATCCACGAAGTCCTCAAACAAAAAAGGGATAGAACTATGGCAATTTAGAAGCTGCATGGTGGCTGCTTTGAGCTCTGCTAAGCAGTCATAGCTTCTGCCATGGCAAAATTGACGTCTCTTGCCAGCATACACCTCTTGATTTGTTTTTGTGAACAGGGATTATGTAACAAAAAGGAAGCAGTTTCTTAACTCTTGAACTTGTGATCTCACGATAGATTTCCCTTCTTTTAATTCTTAATTCCTTCTACTTTGATTTATTGATTTGTTGATTTGCCTTGAATTTTCCTTGTGGATGGGTTTCATCATTGCCTTTAAATCATTGGCCCTGTTTTTCTTGTGCTCTGTTGTCTTAAATTTTAAAACTGAAAAAGTGCATTTGTTCTGGATAATTTCAGCCTACCATGTTCTTGTTTCTCCACTGAAATGGTTCTCTCTGATTGTAGTACTCCATCTTTAAATATTGCTGCAGACTTTCTTTTGGCTTTTATGTTTCAGTTGTCCATCTGTTATTTTGTACGTATTACTTGTTGGGCTTTGGGTATTGCATCTAATCATATAAATCCTCCCTCTCTCTTTTCTCTTTTCCTGCAGGAGAAACTTTTTCAATGGATTTTGAGGCAGCAAGAAGAAGGATCCAGGGTAACAACAGCTGATATAGTTGCTTATTTGCAGGTATCCTTGTGATTTCTTGCTCTTAATGTTTTGTTGAATCTGTTTGCTGAATGATTGTTCCTTTTCTTTAGTACCTTTCTTCTGCTTAAATTTTATATCCTTTGTATTGAACTTAATGCTTTGACCAACAGTATGTTTTACATCATTCTGGTGAATTTAATTGGAGTACCTGACAGTTAAGCGCTTAACTAGAACAGTATGTTTGGATATTTGAAGGGCAAAGAGAGAAAAGTAAATGGGTGGGAGGATGAGGAGGGTAGAGTAGGATAGAAGAGGCTATTATCAGTTTGCTTGGATACCTAATTGATAGATGCATGATCCCGGGTTAGAAGTTGAAATAATACTGCTGTCCTGGAAAGCAATTGCTGTGGAGACTGAATATCTGAAGATCAGGGACTTGAACTTGAGATCTTCTCTTTTGTAAAATTTGCCCAAGCTCTGTCAGACTGGGTATGTGCTCGCCTAGTTCCTAGCATATGGTTGATTTCAAGGGTCCTGTGGTATGCAGCCCCTTATTCAATTAGTTGCTGGTGTTTGTACCTAATAAGTTTGAACATTTTCCATTTAAATTTACCTTTTTTGGAGGACCCAAGGAGCTCTCAAAATTTGACTGATTTGTGCAGTACAGCTTAGTTTTTCTGAGTTTGACTCATAAGAGGTCATCTCTAACTGCCAACTGGAGTATGGCCCTACGAAGGAAGAAGTTGAGTGGCTATAATGGACAAATCCTTTTTTGGTCACTTGGAGTTTGAAATTTGTGGGTATTGGTGTGAAACAGAGGAGCGTAATGAGAAAATAGGTGGTTCTCTTTAAAGATCAAGAACTAAAGTGAGTGAAGTTATTGCAAAAATAATATCAGGATGAAGTTTGATTTTATCATGATACAGAGTTTGGGCTGGCAACACTTTTAGTTATGGATTGATTGTATTGCATGTGTGAAAGACCCTTTTGAAGGCTTCCTTCTAGATCTTCAAACATAACTCTTGAGTTTTAGAAAGTTGATCTTGGAACAAGCAGTTTAGAGATATAGGGGAGAGTTGTTCACAAGAGAGCCCAGTATAAACTAAATCAATGATCCACTGAGCCAGAATCGTAAATGGCAGCTACTTGTTCTATTTTGAACTGAAATGGGAAGTGGTTATTTAGCATATGCCTCCCCTTTTCTAGTAGGCTGTTGTGGTGGGCTTGAATTGGAGAGTTTTTTTTTTTTTTTTGGTGAATTTGAGCTCTTTTGTCTTTACTCTATAGGGAGTTGTTGGATCCTTTGAGGAAATGTGGCATGGGGTTGCAGTTAGTGCTACTAGTTATCGTAAAGGTGAGTTGGTAGGTTTAGACTTGTTATACATCTCAGACAGGTATCAGTATCCGTTCTCCAAAGGTGTTAAAATTGATAGTATTATGGTCTTGTTTTTGTTTTCTTTGTAATTCTGAGATCTATATTGGGAAAAAGTTGAGAATATGAGGTAGACACATGGCCACATAGTGTGTTTGTACGTGCTTGCTGTTCGAATGTATAATTTGCGTCAGGTTTAGCCTTGTTATACATCTCAGACAGGTTTCAGTATCCTCTCTCCAAAGGTGTTAAAATTGATGGTAATATGGTCTTGTTTTGTTTTTCTTTGTAATTCTGAGATCTATATTAGGAAAAAGTTGAGAATATGAGGTAGACACATGGCCACATAGTGTGTTGTACATGCCTGCTGTTTGAATGTATAATTTGCATCTGACTGCAGTGAAAATAGGATGCATATTTTGTTATCTACAGCAGGAAAATTGATGCTTTCATGCACTAGTAACTTTCAGATAGACACTGTTTTGCACCTGTTTATGAACTATGAAGGACAACTAGAGTATGCCTTGAGGGCATTAATGTATACCCAGGGTTCTTTAGAAGAGGCTATGGGTTAAATTAAGTTGGCTTCGACACCTCTTTGTACTTCAAACTATCCTTGCATTAAAGTGTTGGAACTATCATGTTCACAAGTTCTTAGTTATACCTGCGCCATACGTTATATTTAAAATATCAAGGCATATGAAGATGTAACTATTTCATCAATAATGGTTTTATGGCATGGATGGTGATAGTTGTTTGGTAACATATCACTAATTTAACAATCCAGGAGGTTATTAATGTTGTGTCATGTCTAGAATTTGACATGAGCCATGTTGTTCATATAAAATACGTAGTTGATGGACGAACAGCTTACAATTTTTTCTGGGAATTTTTTTTTCTTCTCCACTTTGTCAAATATGGTGGAAGACCAAGAATAGTTACATTTGTATGGGAAAATGAAGTGACCCTTTGAGTATTGTTCCCATTTCTGTAGAATGGGCTTGAATATGGAGCAGAGGAGTGTCAGCACCAGCACCCTCAAACCGTAACACAAGTGAACAGTTTAAGTGCTCCTTTTTCTACCAACCCAATTTCACCAGCAGCAATGGTGCAAGGAGCTCGTTCTGGGGATTACCAGGCAAAGAACTCTGTCTTCTCAAATGCGCTCTCCAGCCCTGTTCGTCGGAGCCTTCAGCACTTCCACTCAGCCCAGGGTGGTTATCATTCAAATAATGTTCTGTCTTCTGCCAATGGACCTCGGAAGAATGAGAACAACTACAATCACCAACAAAATAGGGAACCCAATTCCCCAAGCGCTAACGATTGCATGGACATGCATGCTGATAGTCCAGGTCATGATTTTCATTTCTGAAATCTCTTTCTGATCATTATATTTGTATTTTATAGTTTTTTTTTTCTGGTGAAAGTTGTTGTAAGGCTAGGAATCTCAAAATTCTCAGCAAAATGTAGTGCAAGTTCAATGTTTATGTATTGTTATATTATATTTCTCAAAGGATATCTAGCCCAATGTAACAAGAAACAACCTTTGAAAGTTTACATGGTAGCGTGTCAGGTTTACTAATTTACCTTGTGTCTCCGGCAACCAAGTGGCTGACTTGCTAGGTAAAGTTTTGTGACATGCAAAGCAATTAAAGATCCTCTTATGACTCCTGTACGAATTCATTCCTTCACAAGGCTGCCAGCTACTTAACCTTCATAGTTTCCTTCATTTCATTCATAAATTACTTTTGGGCTACTATCATTTTGATTTTAAGTTTTTGAATTCCCTTTCAAACCATTTAAAGACATGTCACATGTACGCCTCATGTGTTTATAATTTTATGAAATATTATCAAATTATAAAATGCATCCGTTATCGAATTAAATGTTACAAATATTACTATTGACTTAAACATAGGTATTTATTATTGAAGTAAAGGTTTAGATGCTAGAATTTTAAAATACTTTGAAATGTTCAACCCATGGCCATTGAGATAAGGAACTATGGGACCAATGCTGAGATGTGAAAGCTCGAAAATACCTTAACCAATAAGCCATCGCTATATCCAACCATGGGACCAATAGATGGTACTCTATTTGTTAGGAAGGACAGACGTATCTTATCTGCTGTGGCATAATCTTTCAAGAATGACCATTCCATTTCATTGTACTTCTCATCTTCCCTTAATTTTTACAATCTTAATTGGAAGTGTGTTTGCAAAATGAAAAAATAAAAAAAAAAGGTTTTAAAAAAGTTAGATTTTTATAGTAGTAATAATTATGATAATAATAATAAAAATAAATAAGACATCACATTTAAAAGAGGAAAACAAGAAAAGTAATAAACAGTAATAGATATAACCCTCATGAAGTAATAAGAATAAAATTTTATGGTTTATTTATTTTTATGAATTACGGAGGCCCAAATTATAAGTTTAGGAGCCCAACAAGTGTGGGCCCCCATTTAGAGCATGAAGTTACATAAACAGCGATGAAACGCAGCTCATCAAGGCCCGTGGACAGCTCAAATTTAACGTCATCGTCTCCTTCAAACATCCGCAAACTCTCACCCAAACAAGCCTACAATCATCTCTGAACCCATACATCCGCAAGCTCTCTCTCTCTCTGTGGGTTTTATCTATTTTTTTCCTAATTTATTTTCATTAAAAATAAAAATGGCGAAGAAGAGAAAATCCGACGCCACGCGCTTAGACGAGTTTGATCGGAGCATGTACACGAGTTTTTGCAGCGCCGCGAACTCGCTCTCCCAGCTTTACACACAGGCCATGAACCACCAACGCCTTTCATTTCAGGCCGGTGAACGTCACGCGCTGGTCCGCTCCCTAACCCTCTTTTTCTTCTCTCATCCCTATTTATATAATAAATCTACTGTATGCATTGTTGAATTCTATATATATTTGTTCAAGTACCTTAGATATCTTGTCATAATCTATCATATAATTCGATAATCATAGCAATAGTTGTGTTTGATCAAATTCAATATTTTAACTTTCATGTGTGACAAAATTGCAAAATTTTTGCTTTGATATACACCAATTATGTTTTAATTGTTGTTACATTTTAATTTTGCGATTCGTTTTTTTTTTTAATTATATATGATTCGCTTATAGTATTTACTAAGTATTGTTTTTGCTTTATAGTAGCAACTTTTCTTAAAAGCGAAAACTTTATAGCAAAGTAACCATGAAACAGAGCCTATAGATACAAAAGTTACTCTTCTGTTTGTGTTCTAAATTTAGATTATGTTTTGTTGCTTCGGGCTATGTTTATTTTTTTCTATGTAGTCGCTTGAGATGCTAATTGGGTTCGGATTTGTTGTTGTGTTTTGTACTTTCGTTGATTGCCTTTCGCTTTCTATAAAGTTGGTCTGAGCAAAAGCAAAATCTTATTTGATTGAAAACGAGCAAATAGCTAAAATAAAACAAACATTCAGGTATAATTTTTTCATATTAAAAGTAAAATTTATCTTTATTCACTAATGTTTTTTTGCTTTTATATTTGAACACACTTTTTTCTTTTCACAAAGTGAAAAACAGGTGGCAAAAGTGACAGCCAAATGGACCCTTATGCTTTAAAATGAACAACAGAACATTTTACTTTGGTCTATTTCGTTTATTTGGAATGTGCTCTCTTTTTTCTGTTACTCATTGTGGGTTTTGGTGTAAGTTACTTGTTTCTTTATGTATTGCCTTTGCTTCTAACCGTATAGATCCTCTATTTTCTTCTTAGGAGAAACTTTATCAGTGGATTCTGAGGCAGCAAGAAGAAGGGTCAAGAGTGCCAACAGTTGATGTAGTTGCTTATTTGCAGGTTTGTTTTGTCATTTCTTACTTTTGTTAGTAGCTATTTTTCTGTGCTAATTTTCTATTTTTTTGAATTGAACATTGTGATTAAACTGGACCTATGCTAAAGCACCATTTGAAAAGCTGCACTTAAGGCATTGAATCATGTTATATACATAACACTTTACATACTAAGTTGAGCATAATATTCCATATAATTTTAGTTCCTATTTCTATCTCTCCAAAGGTCTCAAGAATGGATAGTTTTCGAAATTTAGCTTATTCGTGCAGTGTTGCTTTGTTTTGTTGAGTTCAATTTATGAAAGCCAATCTTTAATTACATTTAGTAGGTGGAAGAGGGTAAGCCTCATTGTTGTAATCTTTAACTAGAGGAATTTTATCTACCACTGCAATGAAAGGAATGGTGAAACTTGGTGCTTGGTATTTGACCAAATAGAATTTTGAAATTGTGGGTTTAAGAATAGAAATGGAATGCCATAATGCATAAAAAGAGAACTTCAGAAAAATGACCATTCTAATTAGAGATTTAGGACTTGAGCAAGTGAAGCTACTTGAATTTTTATTCCAATGAAGTTTAGTTCAAGAAATAGATAGTTTATCCTCATAGTAACATTGATCAATTGTAGTGCATATTTAGAGGATCCTTTTCTTAGAAGATTTAGAATGCTTCATCTGTTTCTTTAAACTGTAAGCTTTTTGAATGCAAAGAATGTTGATCTTGGGATGAGCAAGATGTCCACAAAGTTTGTATACAAGAGAGGAATTTGCCTATCTTAGCCAGGTATGAGGAGAAAATATATTCCTTTGAGCCAGGATAAAGTAGATATGGCAATGGGTGTTTAATTTTCAGGTACTTGGAGTTACCTAACCCGATTACAACGGGTTTGGGCACTTCATATTCAGGTTTGGGATGCATTTGGACACTCTATATTCTGGTTTGAAGCGGGTTCAGGTAGTGTAAGGTACTTCCCCTCAGATATCTGATACTCAAACCCAATTATATTTTTATTCAGGTAGTATCGGATACTGGTATCCTAAACCCCGTTTATAAATATTTTTTATAAATTATATTTAATAAATATAATCAGTTTAGAATTGTAAATAAGTAAAATTTGTATATGCTTGCAAGGGGAGTCGAACCTGGGTAACTGATCTTTACAACTAAAAGCTTTGCTAATTTAGCTAACTTAACTGGACATAATTTGATTAAAGTTTTGTGTCATTTCTTTCATTTTAATTTTTTTCTTTACTTGTACCTTAAATAGTAAAAAAAGGGACAATATCAAACTCTCTATTTCACAATGTTTGAGTAGTCAACCACAAACTTGAGACCGTAAGGAAATCATGCATATTGGGCAAAAAAGGAAAAAGGAAATTTTTCACACACACACACACACACACACACATTGTGCGCTAGTTCACTCAGGCAAGCACTTTTTTTGCATCTTGGGCCTTAAGCAATATAAGGGTTCTAACGCCTAGAGTGAACCTTGCACCCTTGACGGTGCTGGTTGAAAACCTTTTGTCTTCGTTAGCTTTTATTAGTAGTTATTGGGTCCTTGTTGCTGAGGTTATAGCTGAGCTTGTTCAGGTAGTAAAGTTAATTGTTAAAAGGTGAATTAGTAGGCAGTACATTTACTTATTTTATGTTATTCAGTTATGCAATACATGTTGATTTATAATATGAAAAGCAAATGGTGGAATTCTTTCATCAACAATGGCTTTGTTTCATGATGGCGATAGTTGTCTGGTAAAATTTCACGAACTACTATTGTTGAAGGTTATCCCTGTTGCATTATATCTGGTATTTATGTATGCATCCGTTGTGTGCATGTATATTAACACATGAAGAATTGTTTTCTGGCAAGTTCTTTGTTTCATCTGGATTTGTTTAAATTCTGTTGAATACCAAATATGGTTCTATTTTTGTTACAATGAAGTGATGTGTTGGAATTCTATTTAATGTTTCTGCAGAATGAACTTGAATATGGTGGAGAGGAGGCCCCAATGTCCCCCAGGTTGCCATTGCAGCACCAGCATTCCCAAACTGCAACACAACTGAACAATTTAGTTGCCCCCATTTCTTCCAATCCTTTTTCATCAGCAATGGTGGGGCAGGGAGTTCGATCTGGTGATAACCAAGGTAAAAACTCTGTTTTCTCAAATGCCCTCTCAAGCCCTGTTCGTCGGAGCCTTCAGCACTACCACTTGGCACAGGGTGGTTACAATTCAAACAATGTTTTATCTTCTGTAAATGGACAACGCAATAACGAGAGCAACTATTCTCACCAGCAAAACAGGGATGCCAATTCCCCAAGCTCTAATGACTCCATGGACGTGCATGGTGATAGCCCTGGCCATGGTTTTTCTTATTAAATTCTTTTGCTTGACGTTGTTTTTCATTTTGTTCCTTTTGGTGAAAGTTTATTGTGTGGTTAGAAATCCTGATATAACTCTAATTAAATTCTCACTTTTTTGTTGTTATTTTTCTGCGACGGTGATCACTGGTCACCCATGGCCATGTGGCCAAGTGGGGACCGTTTGTGCTCCACATATCCTTTAATTTTGCCCTCAATCGGTGTGATAAAAATATCGGATAAGGCAAATAAACTATATCAGTATGTCAATTGCTCGTTGATCGTTGTAATAATGTTTGAAAATCTACAGAGCCAGTTCATTATTTTGGGGTATTCATTCATCGAGTTGTTCCCACCCAAAAATTTAATTTTTGGTCAGATTTTGAGATGTTTATCAGAGTCGCTCAGGCAGCAACAACCTACATTTCTTAATCTTTAGCCCCGTTAAAAAGGAAGAGCAGGCAAAGGCTAAGCTTGAGAAAAGAAAAAACGAATAAGAGTCAATTGGCACGATGAACTTCAAACGGGCTTGAGGACGTAGAAAAGATTGAAGTTGCCATGAGTGATGTTATTGCTAACATTGCTTGCATCTCAATAACAATATATATGTACTAAAATTGTCTACATTCTCATTTCAGGCTTGCCGTCCATGTTTCTTTTCATTTCCAAAGTTTCTAAAGCCCAAGAACGGAACCCACCACAAATTTACAAGATACTTCATTAAACTGACATGCCCAAAGTGTTTATACGATAATACTATGTCCTGTATATTCAAATCTTCAAGAGGAACCCTACTGTTTAGCACTGCTACGGATGCTAATATTGTCCCCACTAATAATTTTGTGGGAAGAATTTATGCCCAGATCAAAAGGTCCCAAAGAGTCTGACTGCATCCAACATTCCCAAGAAAAGAAAATGTAAATAATTGACGAAGAGGTAATAAGTAAAGAAGTGGCAGCATTACCCACGTAGAAATCAAAGTCTTATAGCAGAGAATAGGGAAAAAAACAGAGCACTGGGATAATAAATTGAAGTGTACCCATTTGATGCCTGAGAGTCCCAGGGTGCTTTCATCGCTATATACTCGCGAACAAAGTAGCAAATCTGTGTCTGATTGTAGACAACCCTGGCCTTGCGGTTGGATATTAGCCTGCAAAGAGGAATTCTTAGAATATATCTATATCTTGAAATGTTTTATGTATGTCATAGCTTGAATTCTTAAATCCAACTTAACAGAATATCTATATCTTGAAATTTATGGTTCTTTTAGAATAAAGTTAACAATGTGGAATTTTACAAATCTTTTCCTCCAAAGCTATCTTGAAATCTTAAGAATCATCGATCCATCATTGGACCACATAAAATAACAACCATGCTGCATTGGCCACATGATAGAACACCATTATTGGTGGAAATAGTTTTTGAAGGTGTCCAGTTATGTCTACCAACAGAGTTAGATACGTTCAATTACTAGACTTCATATCTTTTAGCAACAGAGAGATAAAAACTTGCTGACTCTTCTACCGCAAAAATAGGTCAAGTGAAACAGTTCCATAATGGTGATAATGGAAGGTGGCAATTATAATTAAATTTTAGCAAACCTCAATTGCATTAGGATGCTTGAATGACTTAGAGCTGGTCTCCTGACTGCTGGCATGAGAATAAGCGCTTCCACTTGAAGCTATAGAATCTTTGTGTAAAGAAGAAAATTTTTGAAATGAAAATGCATGGCATGTATCTTCAGCATCCAAAATCGAGGAATGTGAGGCCTGAGCTGGTGGCCTTGGATTTTGAGGTGGATTTATTTGGCCAGAAAGGAAAGCATCAAATGAATCAGAGATCAATTGAGATGATTGCAAGCCTGCATTGCTTCCATTTGATTTTGGGTCAAAGTTACTGAACCTGCCCTGCAATGATGCTTCTGACAGCAGGCCTCCTATGCTTATGTTTGTTAGACTGTCAGCCCACAGTGCCAATGATTGCCCAATGCCACTATCAATCTTCACTTCATTATCCTAACAGATGAAAAAGACTTTCAGAAAGGTGAATCATTTGACACGAAACATATTCCAACCTAGCACCCTTTACAAGAATTGTTAGTGTCATGCCAAGTTCACCATAATTAAATAACTTACGATCCAAACCCAAAAAGCTTATCTCATAAGCCTGTAAAACTTTTATCATCAGAATAAAAGGGGTAAATATAATAGGCAAAAATTCATATGATCATCCTACTATATTGCCATGCACGTGTCTTTGTTGTAACTTGTAACCTTTTAAATGCTTGATCCAGATTTTACTCACGATGCATTGTTACCAAAAGTAACATGATTAGACATTTACTGAATTAAGCGCAATCACAAAAATGGCCATAGACACTGTACCATAGAATCAGCTGCTCCATTTGATGGCATCTTCTCAGCAACAACTGCATCTATTTCGTCACTTTTAATGATTGGTTTTTCAGACTCTTCACCTCTTACCTCAGTTTTTTCACCAATGCCGTATGTTTTCTGCATGTTAGAATTGCAATCTTTCTGTACATCTTCAAATTTTGAAGAGGCATTGAAGGAAGCTAGTGCAGGAGGCTGTCCCAGGGTTTTCATTTCAGGATCAGACATCCACCCATACCTTCAAAGTGGAATTGAGTTAGCATATGGAACCAAACTTCTAAAAGATCAACAGCTTAAGGAATAAAAAGAGAGCCATAAAATAAAGAACAAGACAGGCAATCAGGTATTAGACCTTAAGCGAAACACAGTTGGGCTTCCAATGGTTAGATGGACATCCCTGGCACTGATGCAAATGTCATTTTTCGTCCATCTGTAACTAGCCAGATTTTCGGCTATATTATATGGAAAAAGCATGGGCTCTCCAATAGCAATGCTTGAACTGCCCCACTTGCTATCAAGGTGCTTAAGTACAGAAGATATCTTCTTCCTAGCACTTAAAGTGAGTTCCAAGTATGGATGAAATCCATCCTAGTGAATAGAATAGTTATCAGCACAATTGGATACGTTATAAAGAGTTTCTTAAACTGTTTAGAATGCTTTTATTCTTACAGTTTTTACCTTTTCCAGTCCTAGCTGAGTGCTTTCATCTATTGGAAAAAGCTGCAACTTTATCTTTGCAGAAGGATGGAGCTTTTTGCCTGTATTAATGTCATGTAGAGGTAACTCTGTGCTTTCTTCCACACAACTTGTAATTTTAGTTTCAAGCCTCGAGGTTAAAGCTTCACCCTTTCCAGAAGGTGAAGAATGCTCATCTTTCTCAATTTTTCCTAAAATCAGAAGATCAAAATTTAAAGCTGAAATCACAATTCAAGAAGTATACCAATTTATGAGACACAGCTATAGTCATATTAAAAAGAGAAACTTCTAGGTAAAGGATGACAAGTACAAAACATAGGTACGATATCCTGCCTGTTGCTCTCTGAAACTGCTGGCCAACACTTCTCTTTCCAGATTTCTCAACTCCATTACAACCCTCGATTGCGTCAATCTCAGAATGAGGCTCCAACGCCTTCACCCTTCTCTTTCTGTTAGCTCCCATGTCACCAAAGCTTTCCTGTTGGCCAATCAAATTGTCAACGAAATAAAACAGAAAAGGTCTTTTATCCCAAAAATTTGCACCGATATTGCAGATAAAAAATCAAGAGTTAAAAGGTCAGCTGAAAGCGTACCTATGGGAGGGTTTGCGGCCAGTAATTTTCAATTAAAAATCAGTGCTTAATTTTTTAACTCCTATAAAACAAGAAATATATATATATAATCTCTATCAAAATTGAACAGCAAGCTAAAGCTAAGCCAAAATGGATCTAATTATTATTTTTTTTTTTTTTTGCAAAGCGATCCAATTAAATTGCTCGAGAGTAAAACCCTAATTCTTAAAACAGGATTACAAGAGAAAAAAAATTAAGCACAACGAACTTGAATGATTAACTGCGAACATATACATAAATAAATAAAGCACTAATTAAAGAATAAAAATTGGAACTGAAAATCATCTGAAAATTTTGAGTAAATTACGTAAGAATTGATCTTCAGGAGACAGATGTTGAAAGTTAAGGATAAAAGACGAAAACTGGGAATTAAAAGTGACAATATGAAGATCAGTTTAACAACGAAAATTCTTTAAATTCTATAAATATGAAGAGTTTTACCTGAATCGAAGCAGAGCAGAGCAGAGATTTAAAAATGGTGAAAAGTATTGGCGGGAATTTGATGATAATCTGGAAAACTTTTTAAGGGCGTGTTTGTTTGTTTAGGCAAAAAAAGTCAAAGCCAGACATCAACATTGAGTGCCTCTAAATTATTATATTATTGGTGAGCCCACCTGGGCTTAGAGCAGGCCCGGTTAGTTGTTCGACGGCCCAATCAAGTTCACTATCCAGGCCCAATTATGTAATTATACTGAACATACACTTATCTTTCGAGTTCACTAGTACCCATGCTTGGAGGATTATGCTTGTGCTTATAACCAACAAAGTAATAATCATCATCTTATTTATATATAAAAAAGAATGTCCAATTTTGTCTGTGAATTCTTAGCTGTTTCTTCCACCCGCCAGAGTTAGTTGACCCCTTTAATGTAACAAATTTTTGAAAATAACTATCACACTCCTTGTTATCGCAGTCCAATGACATTGAAAATGGAGTAGAAAATTTGAAGTTATGACATTGAAAATGGAGTAGAGAATTGAAGTTATCTCCGAAAACGAGGAAACCCTTTCCTTATATTTTTACTATAATTCCAAACAATGCCACCTAAAGGTCGGCTTAGCATTTCCCTTTCATTCACATTCCTTGTTGTTCATGCCATAAACAATTATCCTTCATCAAACCGACGTTCTATTGTTTCATCAATCATCATTACTATGTCACCTTGCAACTACCGGAGCACCGCTTCCCCAAAAGCAGCTGAGACCTTGTAGCAGTTATGGGGTGCGTTCAGGGCAAGTACACTTCGACCTACTCACCGCCTCAGGGACTAGAGAAGCTGAAACAAGAACATGGTTACGTTAGGAGAGGGAATGAAGTGCGGAGATTGTCAGGGAAAAGTAGTAATAGAATTATGGTGGCTAGACGTGAAGGGAAAGATAAAAATGTTGGTATGGTTAATGGGGCTGATGGAGGTGGCGAAAAGGCGGTTACTAGGGAAGGGGAGATGGCTAGGAATAATGGTGCTAATGGAAATGTTTCGCAAAGAAATGTGTCAAACAAGATCGGAGGTGATGAGCTTGTTGATGGGTGGCCTAAGTGGCTGGTTGATAATATTCCTAGAGAGGTTTTGGCTGGTTTGGTTCCAAGGAGTGCTGATGCCTATGACAAACTTGCCAAGGTATGTATTTAATGTTTTCCGGGATAGGGATGATTAAATTGTTAGAATTCTGTATTCTTTTCGGATTCTTTCTCCACCTGGTCAGCCAACCTTCATGAAACTGGATGTGTTATAAATGGACAGCTATCTAATCACTTCTGCAGGTGGGGCAAGGAACCTATAGCAATGTGTACAAAGCTCGAGACAGGGACACCGGAAAGATTGTCGCTTTGAAGAAGGTCCGTTTCAACACTTCAGAGCCTGAGAGTGTCAAATTTATGGCAAGAGAGATTATGATACTGCAGAAGCTAAATCATCCGAATATAATCAGCCTTGAAGGGCTAGCCACTTCAAGGATGCAGTACAGTCTTTATCTGGTTTTCGATTTCATGCAGTCAGACTTAACCAAAGTTATCTCCCGTCCAGGCGAGAGGCTCACTGAACCCAAGGTTGGAATCTCTCTAACTGCTTTTAAAGCTCCAAATTTCATCAGATGAGCTGAGCATTGACAAATTTTGCATTTCCATATAAGTTTGGAGTGGCTGTAACTGAACCAATCAGAAAAAATTGTGAGAAAAGATCAAAGAAAAAAATGGGAAGTAATATATGTCAAAAGATCTATAAGCATACATCGATTGGATTTAATTAATTGCTTATATATGGCTTTCTTGTTAGGAAATTAATAGTGTCTTTAGATAGTACATATAATTATCAAAGTGTGTGGGTGGATTTTGTTGTTATAATTTTTGTGTTTCCCATGCAGATCAAGTGTTATATGCAACAGCTGCTTTCAGGTCTCCAGCATTGTCATGAAAGAGGAATCTTGCACCGAGACATTAAGGGTTCCAACCTGTTGATTGACAGGAATGGGGTGCTAAAAATTGCAGATTTTGGCCTTTCCAATTCTTTTATTCCTAAACCAAAACGCCCCCTTACTAGCCGGGTTGTAACACTTTGGTACAGAGCTCCAGAGCTACTATTAGGTTCTACAGACTATGGTGTTGGGATTGATCTCTGGAGTGCAGGATGCCTGTTAGCTGAGATGTTTGTTGGAAGGCCAATTATGCCTGGGAGGACAGAGGTAAACCTTCATATGCACCACTTATGCTTTAGAATTTAGAGATTGGTTAAAAAGTTTAAACACCAATGAAGGAATAAATTATTAATATGAATGCATGTGGACAGCCAAGAAAAAATCAATTTTTATTCTTATATAGTTATAGACATTAGTAGTACTTTGCACAAATGCATTATCTGAAACGGAAAACAGAAACAGCATAATAATAACAGTGATGGATTAATAGACACCTCTAGTCATAGCATATCATAGTTGTACAATCTAATTTCTCTTTGTTGCTTCTGTACTCATTATAAACCTGAAAAAAAAAATGGAAAATGTAGAAAGATGGATGTACGAGAGGAACTGGGGACGCAACAACAGCCGAATTTATAAATTAACTGTCATGCATTTTTAATGGTTCCTTGGTCCTCACATATTCTTTTTCTGGTTAGGGTACAAATGTGATGATCTTATTGCTGACAGGTTATTCAGTCTATTAAGCCTCTTGTGCATTCAGGTTGAGCAGCTTCATCGAATTTTTAAGCTTTGTGGCTCACCCTCAGAGGACTATTGGAAAAAGATGAAGCTACCAGCAAGCTTCCGGCCTCCGCAGCATTACAAGCCTGGATATCAAGAAGCATTTGGAGACTTCCCTGGTACTTCATTTGGTCTCCTGACAGTGCTTCTTGCTCTGGACCCATTACATCGTGGCACTGCTGCTTCTGCTCTTCAAAGTGAAGTAAGTTGAAACAGCAGAACTTTCTACATAGTTGTTTATAATCTGGTATGACTGCTTCTTAGTCTTTTTGTCTGAACAATTCTCTGGTACTGAAAAGGGCTTTAGGAGTTTACTTCAATGTTTTTGCTGCTGAGCTAAACAACTCCTAGAAACCAAAGGAGGATTATGAATTGCAACAATCTGCACAAGTTTTCCATGCTTCAGCTAAGAATAAAATTTTTTTGCTAGATGGACAACTTGATGCTCAGTTAATCATATAAAAGCGTTAAGCGTGGATAGATTAAAATAACAAAAATTATTGCTATCCTCAAATATTCACTTACTTTTTCAAACTTGAAGGTTGCAAATTCTTCGCCCTGAGTGCTAACTTAATTACTTAATTTGGCATGGGCTATTTTCTGAACTGATGTATCAGCATGGTTGTCACAGAAAAGTATAGAAGAAAGTATTTCGTAATGGATTTATTGTCGTTCATTCTTGTAAACAGACTTAATTGACTTCTCAGTGAAAGATCATGGTACATTTTTTTGTCCTTGAGTATGTTATCAAGTTTTAAAATCAATCATTAAAAGTTGCTCTCTACTAGTACTAGTTGCTTAGCTTCCATAGTTCACTTTCACTGCATTCATTTCCTTCTTGGCAGACTTCTTCTTCTCGTTCTTCTCTTCCTTTAGCACCTCTACCTACTTCAGCCTTAGGTATTACAGCTGTGTTACTATACCGTCAGTTATTCTTCTGCTTTCTTCTTCTTTCTTCCTCTTTTTGCTTAGTTGCAACAACCTTCAGCCTTAGGTTCACGCAATAGCTGTTAGTTTTATCTATTCATCAGCTAATTTGGCATCATTTATTAAATGTTTAAGGCTTATTTTGCTTGGAATTTCTGCTCCTGAAGTCTATGAGATTTCAAACTTTGAATGAGCAGGAGGCTAAATGAAGACTCAAAAACAGAAGTTGGCAGGGGAAGGCAAATTGTAAATTGTACTATTGTAACTTCGATTGCTGGGACATGAACAATAAAAATCAGAAAAAAAAATCACAAAAATGGTGTTTCTGAAAATTCTATATGTTTATCTTGTAATAATTTCAGCTGAAAATTTCCTAACCTGCTGCTTCCTGTTATCCTTATTGTTTGCAGTTCTTCTCTACAAGTCCATTGGCATGTGACCTTTCTGGTCTACCAGTAATATACAAAGAGGAGGATGAGCCATATAAAACCAAAAATCGGAAGAAGTATGTTAGTGTTTGAATATGAGGATTTCCTTTCTAAACATTCTAAGAAGTTCTATGTTATGATATTGACTTACTGCTTAATTATGCTTTGATGGCCGAGACAGAGTAGTGGAGAGGAGAACTTAGAATTAATGCAACATTTTGCAGAACATGCCATTGAATTGAACCAGAAAGGGGAAGAGAATAAAAATACATGCACTATTATTCACTTGGATGAAAAATGTTCTCTGTGCACTTTTATATATTATCTATCTATGCTTATACTTATAATTTTAACTAGATAATAGAGTTAGCTTTACTTTCTGATTGATGCATACAATGAAAGCCATAAAGAGGAAAGAGGGAGTGGGAGGATTTCTTTGCTCATTACCTGTTGGAAATTCTTTTCTTTCCTAATATGACATTGAATCCTTTGTTTGTTCCATGGAAATAGAGAAGATGAAACAATGCCAAAATTATTTGAACATATGTAGATTCAAAAGCGAAAGAGAATTACACACTGTGCTGAATTCCTTGGAATGCTTGGACACTGAACAGGGATATTAACTGATTGTCACTTGTTCTTATTGAAGGCGCATAACTTCGAAAGCAACGCAATCTTCTAGAAAGAAACATGGAGGTCATGAGACAAAGGACCTAATGAGAGAACCAAAGAAAGATGATACTGAATCTTCCAGAGAGGTAAAAGATTGCTCTTTCATTTTTGTTCCACTCCTTCAAATGGCGGAATGAAAATGTCTTTTCTTTTGACTTTAGCAGGAGAAGCCAAATGTGTATGAAGCATGTACTAGTGCAAGCAGCACTTCTTCTAGTGTGAAGCCAATCAAGGATGAAGAGAACCTACGTCGATCGCTTTCTCCTATTCTGCGTTCCAAGTCAGAAATAGGTCCGAGGACTGATGGTCATCCTAATGCTACTCAGAACATTCAGAATTTCACTCTTTTGCAAGCTTCTATAACAGATATCATGAACAACAAACTTGGCAACCCTCAATACCGCAGGTCTATCTCTACATTGGATTCCCGAACACTTGATCCAGGGAAGATATCAAAACTCTTTGGTGTGGAATAAAGAGTAGGTGATGGGATATGATCTTCTACTTACCTCAAATTATTATGTAATATGAGTTACTAACTTGTTCAGCTTTATGCCTGAATTTTTCCTACATGATTTGTGTTATACATAAATAAATGTTGTTGTCTATTCTTATAACGAAAGAAAAGTTATTGCAATTACCTACCATTTATTTAGAAATATTTATATCTATTTAAACCCAATAATAAATATTTGATGTTAGTGTATTGTTTTTGAGTTGTCTAGTTGCTAATATGACAATGCACCATATATAGGCTTTTCTATGCATGAGTTAAGCAAGTTTTTGTGGGTGCAAAACAAAATTACAGAGGAATTTTGATTCAGGGATTGAGATGTGAGGAGATATGAGAAATTACATATAGAATTATGATCTATTGCAAGGTATGCGAACTTGAAACAGAACAAACTCTGCAAAACAAATTTCTGAAGAATCTCAGCTTGAAAATAAACAACTGTGGTTGAGATCAAACAAAGGAAGAATGCAAATGCACAGATTGACAGTGAATGCCAAGATGAGTTACATTTGTTTTGAAGTGAAGCTTAACTGCTGCTACAAGGGAATTCCCATCATAGTGACTATCACCAATTCTTTCTTTCTTTTCTTTTCTTTTTTTTTTTTTGTTTGTAGTTCTTCACCAAGAACTCTCTTGGACTTAAACATGTTCTTCCAATCTTGTCTGTTAATCGTATATATTCCAGAAGTTTGTTCGGGACAGAAACAGTTGTCATGATCACTATGACGGGAAGCTGATATCATATGTACTTAATCATATGACTGTATAAGATCAAATTTTATTATTAGTTCTAGTAGAAAAAGTTAATCCCTGAGTGGAGAGTTTGCATACTCCTGGCAAATTACTGTTGGAACGACTTGTGCATGCTTCTGTCAAGTCAAAGATTAATCACTTTAGTCTTTCTGCACTTTCCTGATCTACAGAATCAAGTGATGAATAAGACTATTGACTACTCATATGTCGGTTGCCATGAAAGGATGCTGCAAGGCTATCAGCTTTGGTCTTGATGTTTTTCTAGTGAACCTTTAAAAAAATTATAAATTGCTTGCCCCCTCCCTCCCCAAACAAAAGGAAGAAAAAAAGCCTGCTTGCAACAATTTTACAGCACACCTAAGCACACAACACTGAGAGTTAACTTCAATATAAGCAACCCCTTGATATATATATATATATATATATATATATGTTACAATAAGGAGAAGGCTGAACAAGGTGGTATGAGAGCTTAGCTCAGGCTGAACATGAAAAGTTCATGCAAAAATCTCAAGTTCTATTTCAGAACTCATACAAGTCACCAACGAACTTGGTCTTGATCCACTTAAAGCTATTGCGCAGAGATGATTTAAGCTTACCTTCCAGACTATACATATTATAAGATGCCACCCTCTTCCTTCTCTTGAGCTCCGGGTTGCCAGAAGTGGCCAAGACATCCGCCTTGCTTCTCGAAACAGGACCATTGAAACTGTATGATTTGGTCCGGTCCTCGATGCCTCGCCGAACCTCTGAGTACCCTGAAAAAGATTTGCTCTTCTCCATGGTGAAGTGAAGGGAGATCTATTAGGAAAGCACCAGGCGACCCTCTCTTCCATTTTATAGGAACTAGTAAAATATCATGCACAACATCCATAGTACATGTTAGTGCGGTCTGCATGGGCATTGGAGTGGCACGAACAATAGAATCATCTAGATTCTTTGCACCGTAAGTGATTTTGCTAAGGGGCTGTTGATTGGACGAAAAAACATATATATCACCACCTCATCCAATTAAGTTAAGGATTAAATTTTAAAATTTTTAATTTGTAGATATTAAGTTTAAATTAAGTTTATGATTTAAGTAGTTATTATTCATGTTTCTCTAAATATGACGAGACTTATTATAGGTTATAATGAAAGTAAATAAAATGCTTTAATGTGATACCAAAATAGATCTAATTTAAATTCAATTTATATTAAATATCTTAAAAAAACAAAATAACAAACAGTGACAAAACACTTTAAAAGAAGTAAATAAAATATTTTAATTTTACAACGAGCATATAAAAGATCTTCAAGAGTCTATAACATAAATATTGCAAATCTCATCAAATTAATTTTTTTTAAAAATAATAATAATATTGTGACAAGATTCTAGCATTGGGATACGAATTAGGCATAAAACATGAAATTTGAACGAAACAACTTCTGAAATTATTTTTTAAATGCTTATAGTTACGGGATTAGGAGACAAAATGTGATTGGAGATGGTGGCAAGAACTGCTCAACAAAAGGTGAGATGAGACATGCCACCAGTTCCTTCTCGGATACAACTTGAGGCAGTGGTGGGGACGATAGGGACGATAGGGACTCAACCATTTGAGTTGGTGGGATTAGATCAGCGGAACACCCCCACCATATCCAATCATAAGTCGTGGGCGGCGGAGCCAGCAAGGTCCAAAACTCCCAATAGAATATACCATGCAATAATTGCTACTTACCTTTTTTATTTCAGTGGCAAAACGGGAAATTTATGAACACCGGCCATTAAATGTTAACACAATACTAATGCGATACAAAATTGAAGGAATTTAAATTTTGTATAAGTATTCGTGTCGTAATCATGCTAATTCATTTATGACAAAATGCATGTATATTTTATACAAAGTAATGCGTCTAATTCATATATAACATATTTATATGTTTAATTAGTTATATTAACCTATTATCTCACATTACTCAAAATATCTAACTTATTTAAATTTATTATTAGATTATTAATTTAGACTTTAAAAAAGTAAATTTAAATCTTATTTTTAAAAAAAAAATCATATACCAATCAATAAATCAAATACTAAAATACAATTTATTATTTATACCTAAATTAATCAAATTTAAATAAATTAATTTTATCATATCTACATTGAATAATATAATCCTAATAATAAACATGTTATATTCATATCAAGAACTTTTGACATGATTAATTAATCACTTTGTTTTCATCTCAACCAATTTATCTTTTACATCCTTACCTTTTTCTTTCATACAACAAGATTTTGACCCATTAACATGTACTGCCAGCCCTAAATCTAAAGCATAACCTGCTCATTACTCTCCAACCAGGGGTCAGTGCCACTCCCACTTTGATTGCTACGGCAGCCCTCTCTCCTCATCCCCCACTCAAAAGTAAAACAAAAAGTAAGGAAAGAGGAGGCAAGAAATTAGAACGAAGCATAACAATATAAGAAAATGATACTAAAATATTTATTGTTGCCCATAACTGAAAGTAGACTGAGAAGTTTACTATAATTAATGTATGAAGAAATCAGCACCATCCTCAATATCATCAGTTTTGATGCTTCCGCTCTGAGCCATGAGGATTCTACACACTCTCTTCGAACAAACCTCGCCCAATCTTTTGTCTTTACCAAGTAACCCTTCTATCACCAAGTCCTTAAGCAAAAATTCCTTTTCATGAACCTGTTATTACAATACAATAGCAAAACAAGTCTTAACTTGACTAATAGTCCTGACATTGGAGTTAACAAATGTTATACTCCACTTGGTAGGAAGAAAGGAAATGAAGAGAGGATATAAGGTGAGGAAATAGAACTGTCTTCTGTCCTTTCATTTGGTTGAAGATACAACAACTAAGGCAACAAGTTGAACTGAAAGGTTGAAATTAGTAACATTCTTTTTCCCAAATAGAATTTAACACATTTCCAATTCCATCGACATTTCACACAAGGGTTTCCTTTGTCCAATACTTTCTAATTCACTCATCATTACCATTCAAATTTGTAGGACCCTAATCATTTATTTTGAAACCTGCACATGTTAATGGCAACGATGAGTGTATTGGAAAGCAATGGAGGAGAGTCAAACCCTTCAAAGGAATGCCAATCCTCACAACTCTTTCACATGATAAATATATTCTTCACAGCATGATTTTGGGAAAAAAAAAAACTAAATCTGTGAAATCCCTCATATCCACCCTTCCTACCAGTCAAATGTAAGTTTATTTCTGTTTACAGTTTCCCCTTCCACCCTTCTCTTCCCTTCCACTTGGTGGTAGAAAAGAGTGCAAGTTAAAGCATTAATTGTCCCATCATATTAATTATGCCCTTGAGATAGCTTGGACTTACCGATTTTGTAGGGTCCATGTAAACACGCAAAAGAGATTTCATGGTAGGATACTCTCTCCATATGGCAAGAGCAAATCGAGGCTGGACCTTTGGGATGGCTAGCAAAGCTTTTAACCTGGATGTGAAAAGCAAAATCAGCAATAGTACGTAATGCACCCACAGAAAAAAGTAGTTGCATTAAATGCAGATTTAAAGCAGATTATAATTGCAGAAAATATTGTACTATGAAGAAGCACATTTTGTTATGCCATCAGTACCAATAATTCAATTTAAACACTTTGTTCGTTAAACAACCCGGTGAGTATCTGATGTTTTCTAAACCAAATAACAAACGAGAGTAAATTCATAGTATTTCATTTCTGAACAAATAAAACATCACATCACCAGAATGTAAACAAGATAAAAACCTAATTGGTAAAAACCAAAGTTCTAAAATTTATCCCCTCCATTAAAGCTGTAAAAATGTTACATTACTCTATTAAACCAAGTTTTCTTTTCTCCAAGATGGACAGCTAAGGAAGAAAATAGAAACATATCAAGCACACAAGTGTTTGAGATTTTACTCACCACAAGTTCCCTTTTATTATATTCTTGTCAATACAGTCCTTAGGAATAATGGATCCATTAGCACTTACACAGAGTCGCGTTAACTTCTTTCTGCAAAATATATAAATAAATCAATAAAGTAGATTCAGAAGATTGCTGAGTGAAGGTATCGATAATATTTGAACAGACTAGGACATTTAAAATAAATAAATAAATATAGAGCTTGCCAATTTTACAAAAGAGGCCACTGAATTTTTTTTAACCACAAACAGATAATGTAGATGTAATTCTGAAA